GTTGTAGGTGTGGGGGTGATTGTAGGTGTGGGCATGGCTGGTTGTAGATATGGGGGTGATTGGTGTAAGCATGATTAGTTGTAGGTGTGGGGGTGATTGTAGGTGTGGGCATGGCTGGTTGTAGATATGGAGGTGGTTGGTGTAAACATGATTGGTTGTAGGTGTGGGGTGGTTGTAGGTGTGGGGTGGTTGTAGGTGTGGGGGTAGTTGTAGGAGGGATGGTTGTAGATGTGGGGTGGTTATTAGTGTGGGGCGGGTATGGGGTGGGGTGGTTGTAGGTGTAGGGGTGGCTATAGGTTATAAATTTCATTTAGTACATCAGGAAAAATGTGGTGGCTGATGATTAGCTGTGGACTGAAAGACCTAGAAATAACAGATCCACCTTCATATGTAATTTCAAGTTTCTTCTCTAAAAGATTGATGGATGCAAATAGCAGTGGCTAAATTACTCAGCTTACTTTTGCAATTCCTTTATCTATTTCCAGCCCAAAGGAGTTGGAAAGCAGGCGACATGAGCAGTTCACAGTTGGGTCATGAGCGAAGACATGAGCCATTATTCTCAGGTGCCAAATACCAAGCTCCTTGGGCGGCAAAATAGTTCCGTGGGTAAGGCCACTTGCCACTTGCCAGCCAGGCCCAGTTATCTGAGCTTGATCCCTGGAGTCCACATAAGGTGGAAGGAGAGAATCACCTTGTCTTCTGACACATACAACATGCCATGACACATGCGACAAAAATGAAAACAATAATGATAACAATAATAGTAATAATAAATACTTAAAACTAAAAGCTCTTTTGAGATCAGGGGACTAATTGAATAAATTTGAAGATGTAGCTAGAAGAATGATACTAGTCTCATTAAGGAAACAGGCTTTTACACTTTCCCTTTGGGGGTATTGGTTTTAATCATAAGACCAGAGACATTCTGGGGGGGGGAGATTTTACAATATACTTGTTACAAAATGCTTCTAAAGATAAGGAACTTCAGGTGTTTTCTTTTTTTTTATCTCAGATCCATGCTCTTTACTAAAGTAGAGATGTATATAATGCAAGGAGATATCCTACCCCCTCTTTCCAGGTTAAATCCTAGCATCGGTGTTTAGAAACCTTTGCTCTGCAAATACAACTGGCCTCTCACATCTAGGCAAACCTTTGGCACTGAACACATTTGATGTTTCAGACAGTGTTCGTTATAGCAAGTTTGATGGAGCTGGAAATGGCCCACTGCAGTCCAAATTCTAAAAAGGTTCAAGACAAAAACCCATATGTGTGAAGGTTTAAAGGCATGGTACATCAACCCTATTGACCAGGCTATCTCGGGGGGAAAGAACAAAACGTATCTGTGAGAAAGAGCGATGTGCTGTGTGATGAAAATTTCAGCAACGATTCTGAAAAGGCTGCTTCCGTCCTAAGGAACTGTCAAATGAAGCCATGATTTCACCTACGGGCCACACCACTCTTCTGTGGCGTCCTTCTAAGGTAAAAGAGGAATGTAACCAGAAAAGCATTTCTGCCTCAGAGAGGAGAGGAAGCAGGCAGCAGAAGCAGGCTGAATTGAAAGGCTTGAAGTACGATAGCCCTAGAGGGCGGGTGTGGAAGGTACAACGGAGTAACAGTACAAAAGCCACCTGAATCCATGGCACGATAGCAACCAACTGTCTTCATACACTGAAAACTCAAAGTGGGACTTTTAGTTCTGTTCCAGAAACATGCTCGGTGCCTCTATCTTTTGCAGGAACGATAGTAGGCCGAAGGGGAACTGGGAATGTAAAAGGCACAACTCCTGTATCTGAGGGTAATTTGTATTAGCCATTAAAAATACCGTTTCAAATACCATTTAAATACTGTTCTAAGTGCCATGGCCATCCCAAGTCAGGGCACTGGCAGGATTAAATCCGATAAGCATGAAGATTCAGAGTTAAAGAATACTCAACAGAGAAATCAGAGAGAGAGAGAGAGAGGGAGGGAGGGAGGGAGGGAGGGAGGGAGGGAGGGAGGGAGGGAAGGAGAGAAATGGGCAAGGTTCACCAGCTCAGAGGGACAGGAGTCCAGACAAGAACTAGCTGGTGCAAAGGATCAGAAAACAGTGATATTCTCTTCACGGTGGACGAGCCAGTCGGGTGAAGGACAGTGCTTGGCGTCACCAGCCTTGAAGGCTTACCGAATGAATGATACATGCTTAACATGTCACAAAGACTTTTCTAGTCCATGTTGTCAGCTAGCTGATGCAAAAGGCCTTTCTGAGACACAGCCCTGAACTTCTTACAGCTACATGCCAGCATTCCGCAGAGAATCCTGTGCTGGCTAATAAACGCTCTGGGCACTGACCATGAGACACCGCCTTGTGGATGGGTGCTTCCGACATTTAACATTGGTGTGTGTTGTTTTGTAACAGTTCTTAGTGATGCCATGGGTTCCCTTGGGTCCCTTCTCCTTCTTCCATCATAATGAAATGCTGAATCTGAAGAATATGTACTGTCCTATTTTGCACCAAAAGAAAATAGTTTGGCTACCAGAAGAGCATCCTCCTTCAAAGTGAATAAATACATCTAGTAAATATTTTTCTCATGCATTGCTTTGGCACCAGAAATGACAGGAAGGCTTGCGTGCAGATAAGTATCTGTGAAGTTATGCCTTTAATGTCAGCAACATCATGTCAAGACCTAAAATAACCGGAGAAATTTTTTTCTCGGTCTTATTCTAACACAGCTCATTTCATGTAGTTTGGTTAAACGCAGCTTGTACGACCTCTTTTCAATTCAATGGTGTGCTTTCGCTGTGTTCAGCTTCATGGAATGTGGAGGCAGCATCCGATTCAATATTTTTATTCGGGCTGTTTACTCTGTAGTCAAACATTCTTCAGAAACATTTTCGTCTCCCCGTACTTTCCATCCAGGGCTGTCAGTTCCTATTTGGAAAGGTTAATTGAGGCCCAGAATCTCAAAGCCTCTGACACAGAAGCAGCTTCTGCCGGCTTTAATAGTCAACTTTGAATCTGCTGCCAGGGCTGATTCTGCATGTAAATATTTAACTGACTTGTTTTTTTATTTTATTTTATTTTTTTAACCAGAGTGGGAGAGTGCATTACTAAAACATAATGTGTGAGGTGGGGAAGCCAACTTTTATTGCTGCATGTTCCTTTTTGCTAACTTCTTGGTCAGGGTCTCATTTGCAGAGGCCTTCTTCACTGTTCTTCACAACACCTTTGGCCTGCTTTGAAGCTGCTGAGTGGAGCAGGAGATGATGCAGCCTGCTGGTAAGGAGCTCACCGTGTATAATCAACGCCCACCCCCACCCCCATGTCTCTGAGGAGGCTCAGTTGAGTGGTCTCTCTACCATGACCCTTAACTCTTGAGAATCAAGCATCTCTTCATGAAGGCTGCCTTTGAACAGTTTGTCTGAGCTGCTGGCATAACTCCTTTCAGAACCTCTCCAGAAAGTATAGCCTGCCTGGAATGTAGTAGAAATAACCCCAGTGCGGAAGAAACCGTTGAGCCACAGAACGCAGTATGAATGCTGTCTTTGCCACAGCTTCCTGCTGAAGAAGAAGAAAGATTGTCCCATTCCACCTCCTTCTCTTCCTCGTTCCAGCCGGCTGCCACTGAATTTAGACAGGAGAAGGCAGCTAACATAAAAGCCAGGCCTGAGATGGGTACTCTGTGCCGAAATTATCTGTTAATTGTGATACATGCCAGGCACATAACTTAGGCGTTTGAGTAGTCTCATTTTAAAACCAAAAAGACAGGACTAATTTGAATAGTCTATTTTGAGCCAGAATTTTGAAAATATTTAACATGTAATCCAAGCTGAGTAGGATGGCACACCTGTAATTTCAGCTCTCAGGAGATGGGTGTAGGAGGGTCAGGAATCCAAGGTTGTCCTCAACTACATAGTATGTTCAAGACCAATCTGATCTACAGGATACCATCTTACCACCACCCCAAAAATAAACCCCAGAAACTTTATCAGCAAGATATTTTAAGTATACTTATTTACAAACTAAGTGTTCAAAATATGGTGTTTACACTTCAGGTATATCTCAATTCAGATATTAAGTTTTCATTGGAAATGTGTATATGGTTATTTAGATCTCGTAAAATTAACAGTTAAAAAGGTAGATACAGAACAAAACTTGTTCTAAATATGCTTTTTAAAAATGCATTACCGGCAAAGTATTGGATTGTTCGTACTTTTTAGATTAATTGAAATTCGATAGAAGTCAAAATTTCTCATTTCAGGTGCAGTTCACAAACACAGAATTCCACTCCAATGGGGGTTTTTAATACAGGAGACAGAAGCCATAAGGAGAAGAGGCAGTTTTAGAATAGTTCTATTCCGATCCTTTGTAACCTGTAGGGCAGTCTCACGGAATGGAGCACTAGGTAATTTCCATAGGGACAAATAGCTAAGAAGGACCACAAGGCTAAGGACATGGGGTTTAAATTCCAATCTAACGCCAGAGCTTAAGATTCTAGTTACCATGTCGCACACAACAGATGCGTAGCACCTGCATAATCTGTAATAAAGACTGGTTTCATTTTATTTTATTTGTGTGTGAGGGAGGGGACGGTGCATGCCTGCGACAGTGCACGTGTGGAGGTCAGAGCACAAGTTGGGGGGAGTCAGTCCTTTCCTTCCACCACATAGGTCCTGGGGATCAAACTCAGGTCAGCGTGCTTGACAGCAAGTACCTTGACCTGTAGTTGGTTGACTTTACTCTTTGTTCTTTGGGGGCCCTGCCACCCAGCTCCCAAATACATACATGGAGACTTATTCTTTCTTATGAATGCCCGGCCTTAGCTTGGCTTGTTTCTAGCCAGCTTTTCTTAAATTTTCCTGTCTACCTTTTGCCTCTGGGCTTTTACCTTTCTATATACCCTTCTTTACTTCTCATTCCATGGCTGACTGTGTAGATGAGTGGCTGGCCCATGGAGTCCTTCTCTCCTTCTCCTTTCACTCCCTGATCTTCTTCCCAGATTTCTCCTCCTGCTTATTCTCTCTGCCTACCAGTCCTGCCTATCCTTTCTCCTCCTGCCTAGCCGTTCAGCTCTTTAATAGGCCAACCAGGTGTTTTAGACAGGCAAAGTAACACAGCTTCATAGAGTTAAACAGATGCAACATAAAAGAATGCAACATATCTTTGCATCATTAAACAAATATTTGACAACATAAACGAATGTAACACATGTTAAAATAATATTACACGTTTATGCACGGAGCCATCTCACCTGAGCTGATTCTGCATTTTCATTCCTGACCACTAATGGTTTCAGGTTCCAACTCTCCTCCTTTTTACCCGACACATGGCCAAGCCTGTGAGAACATAGTTGCATTCTCTCTCTTGCTTCCAGAAAACAAGCTTACCTCATTCTGCCTCTACCACACTCCAGCCCCATCCCACTCAGTCACGCTCAGCCTGGCTTGGATACTTACTCTGTTGTTCTTCAAGAGTGAAGGATAAATCTCTTTATCCTCTCAGTTGGGTGTGGCAACATTTATCAACTTCCAAACAAATTTTGGGCAAGAGATATTGATAACACCCTATATGGGACAAAAATAAAAGACTATTAAACTAAATATTGTGACTTGACATGACACCAGAAGCTTCCTCCAATGGCAGAAATGACAAGGATTACTGGAGACCCTTTGCTGCTGGGAATTGCTTCCAATGCTTTGGGCATGCCAGACAAGAATTCCACCACCGAGCTATATCCACAGCCCAGATTCATGAATCTCATTATTACATCTGCAAAAAACTTTGGTTGCTACGTTGTCTAATTATGGTGAATATTATTGGTGGGGGAAGTATAATTATCTTTCTCCATCCTCCAAACTTATGTCAACTCTTCACTAAGCCATTTCCCAGCTCCAGGGAACAGGAACAGGTAATTTGATGGATGTGTTCCCAAAGCTCAGTTTTCTGGTGAACAGGGTTGTTCTTGTTTCTATAAAAGTTAACCTTTGCACAGGACATTCACCAGAGCATTCAAGTCTATAGTTCACAACTTTCCATTGCCCCACCACCAACCCCTTGGTGTACCTTCAACATCCCCCTACTCAGTTCTAGTAGTTGTTACAATCTCCTATAACCTCGCCTGTTTATTATTTCTCAGTTCACTGTATGTACCCTGTGAAATGTATCTGTCTAGTCAGCACCAACCTTGATGGTGGATGGGAAAAATAGTCAATTGCTGTCCTCGCTTTGCAAGGACCCTCAGTGACCTCATGTTGCTGTCACTCATTGTCCATTCACTCTCGTGTTCAACAAAGGGCTTACGCCTTCTCATTTCTTAAACCTCTAACGTTCCTGCGACGAGCTGAGACCTTCCTACTCCATCAAACCAAACTGGCTCAACCGGAAGGGAATGCCAACGGGTCCTCACCTCCAACGGCAGCATCTGCATCCATACACTCTGCCTCCTTGGTGGAGTTAGAGGAGGGAGAGACACTCCCCCTAACGCACGCCGCACGAGCTCTGTCACCTAGACAAGGATAGTGCTCCAGTTATCTGCTGCCTTTCTCCTCAGTCCCCAGCCCTCGTAATGGCTATTCTATGGACATGCGTCAAATTTTCCTGAAACTCATTTCCCCCTACTTATGGTCACACCCCTTTTTACTCCTTTTTGTAACAGAATTCCTCAAAGAGCAAGCTCTACTATATCAAATTCCTTACCTCACATTTTTCTATTTAAATCACTACATTCAGCCTCTTACCCTTTTGATTCCACTTAACTACATGTCTTAAATCTGTTTTTTTTTTTTAACTGTGAGTGTGTGTGTGTGTGTATGTGTATGTGCGTGCATGTGTGTCAGGGATGGCACATGTTGGGGGTAGGTGCACATGCAGGTGTGTGTACACCCCCATGGAGGGCAGAGGTCAACACTGAGTGTCTTCTTCCACCACACTCCCACCTTCTTTTTCGAGACAAGATCTCTCAATGAACCTGGAGCTCACCGATTTGGCAAGACTAGCTGCCCCGCGAACCCCAAGGATCTTGTCTTGGCACTTGGATTGCAGGCGTGTGTCGCCATGCCTGGGACCTTTCTTGTGGATGCTGAGGAGCCAGAGTCAGATCTTCATGACTGTGCAGCAAGTGCTTTACCTCTTGAGCCCTCTCTCCAGCCTCTCCACTTACCCGCTGCTGTCAAGGGAACCTATGACCTCTGTGTTGTTAAATCGAATGCTCAGGCCTCGATGTACTGAATTCATTGACACCGTGTGACGATGTGGCCGCCTTCCTCCATGACACATTTCTTACTTGTGTCCCTGTAAGTGTCACTCAAGACAGGGTTTCTCTGTGTAGCTTTGGTGCCTGTCCTGGAACTCTCTCTATAGACCAGGCTGGCCTTGAACTCACAGAGATCCGCCCACCTCTGCCTCCTTAGTGCTGGGATTAAATGTGTGCGCCGCCGCCGCCGCCGCCACCACCACCCGGCTGATGATTTCTTTTCTTAATGCTGCAGTGTCTCAGCAATCAGCCCCTAATTTTTTTCTGTCTTTCACTCTTTTGGCAGTCTTTTTTTATTCTCATACATCCCAACTGTAGTTTCCCTTCCCTGCCCTCCTCCCAATCCCCTCCCCACATCCTCTTCCCTCAGATCCACTGCTCCTTCACTTCCCTTCAGAAAAGAGCAGCCCCCCCCCCCAGGGATATCAACCAAACATGGCCTAACAAGGTAGAATAAGACTAGGCACATATAGACGGGACTAGACAATCCAGTAGGAGGAACAGGGTCCCAAGCACAGGCAAAAGAGTCAGAGACACCCCCCACTCCCACTGTTGGGAGTCCCACAAGAACACCAAGCTACACATCCATAACGTATATGCAGAGGACCTAGTGCAGACCCGTTCAGGCTCCAGGATTGCCACTTCAATTTCTGTGAGCCCATATGAGACCTGCTTAGTTGATTCTGTGGGCCATGTTCTTCTGGTATCCTCGACCCCTCTGGCTCCTGTGACCCTCTTTCCCCTCTCCTGCGGGGTTCCCCAATCTCTGCCTAATATTTGGCTGGGGATCTCTGCGTCTGCTTTCATAAGCTGCTGGATGAAGCCTCTCTGATGACAACTGGGCTAGGTACCGATATATTCCTCTGGCTGGCTTGGACTGCAATTGAGCCCTTTTGATATGGTCTTATTAGAAATCTTAGCCAGGAGATTTTCTGTGCCATCTGAAGCTAGGCGTTATAATACCGTTCTTCCATTTAAAGAAAAAAATAATGGGGAGAACATGAGATGCCTCAGCGGGGAAAAGTGCTTGCCGAATGTGGTGATATTGTGTCCCCCAATATATTTTGCACCCTAATAAACTTATCTGGGATCAGAGAACAGAACAGCTACTAGATAGAGGCCAGAAAATGGTGGCACACACACCTTTAATCCTAGCATTCTAAAGGCAGAGATCTGTCTGGATCTCTGTGAGTTCAAAGCCACACTGGAAACAGCCAGGCATGGCGGCCTTTAATCCCAGGAAGTGATGACAGGAAGCAGAAAGGTATATAAAGCATGAAGACCAGGAACTAGAGCTGGCTAAGCTTTTAGGCTTTTGAGCAGCAGTTCAGCTGAGATCCATTCGGATGAGGACGCAGAGGCTTCCAGTTTGAGGAAACAGGATCAGCTGAGAAGTTGCCAAGGTCAGGTTAGCTATGTCCTGTTCTGTTTCTCTGATCTTTCAGAATTCATCCCAATACCTGGCTCCAGGTTTGTTTTTATTAATAAGACCTTCTAATAATTCATTCTAGAACTGAATAATCCCCACAATGTGAGTTCAATTCCCAGAACCCATGGTGGAAGAAGAGAAATGATTCTCAAAGATTGTCCTCTGACCTCTGAATGCGTCCTCTGACCTCTGCATGTGTGCTGTGATATGCACACCACACACACACACACACACACACACACACACACACACACACACTATGATGATGACGATGATGATGGTGGTGGTGGTGGATGATGATGGTGGTGGTGGTGGATGATGATGGTGGATGATGATGGTGGTGGTGGATGATGATGATGGTGGTGGATGATGATGTTGGTTGATGATAATGGTTGTGGTGGTGGTGGTGGTGGAGTGAAACATAAAAATTTAAAAAGGCCTTGCAAAATGACTAATTTTGGAGGTAGCATAGGAAAAATTCAAGAGAACTTCGGCATCCTGAGGTGCCAGGATATAAGGAAATGATGAAAAAATTAAAAGATGAATTTATATAAGAAGGGACACAGTTTAGTTCCAAACTAAAGGAACCTTCAGTGCTCAAAACTGGAAACTTTTGAACTATAAAATAAATCACACGGTACTGGATTACCACCCAAATGATAAAATAAATATACATGAATCTATAAAGATATAAATAACCGAGAGAGCAAAGACAAATCTGCCATCTAGAAGAATTTCAAACAACTTATGTAGATGCACCCCCTGCAGGAGGCAGGAGAGCCTTCCCTTCCCTTTCAATCTTGCTTAGATTTCCCAACTTGTTTCCAAAACACAGAACACGGAGAGGGAAGACTCCAGCCATTTCCCTGAGAAGAGAGACGACAAACACCGTTATGACCCACAGATCGCAGTTACCGTGACCAGCAATGTCACAGTCATGGTATGCTTCCCAGGTGAGGTGTGCTAAGAGGAACACGTCATAGAAAAAAAACAAAACAAAACAGTAAGATACTGATGAGGTCTGGAGAATAAGGAACCCGTATCACAAGAAGAGAGTGTGACAGCAAGAGAAATAGTGAAGATGTAGAAAACCTTTGCTTTGAAAAAGTATTCTGAAGTAAACCGTGGTTATATTCAAAAATAAAGAGCCAATTCAGCCTCTACCTGCATACTTGTGTTCTCTCTCTCTCTCTCTCTCTCTCTCTCTCTCTCTCTCTCTCTCTCTCTC